CGCGCGCGGGTCGCCCCATCTGTCGCCCAAGGCCGTTCGAATATTTTTCTAGATGCGCGCGCGAGCGGCCTGTTTGGTAGCACGCACGATAAGGTTGAAAACCATGGTTTTCTCGAGGGCCTGCAAGAGCGCGAGCGCCAGCCTTTCCTGAAACTCCGCGCTGCGAAACCGTGTCTTCTTAACTGCCATCATGTTGCGTTGGGTCTTCGATTTGCAGGGGCAGCGCCCCGCGTTCCCCTTCCCCCCCCCCGCCCCCCCCCCTCCTCCAACCGTCGCCGTCATCATCATCACCGTCGTCGTCATCAACATCGCCATCATCAACGTCATCGCCTTCATCATCGCGACAATCACCAGTCCCCGCGCTCCTCCTCCCCCCCCATCCTCGCCTGTCCTGTTCCCCCCTCCTCCCCCGCCCCCTCCCGTCGCCCCCCCCCGGCTCTGTCGCGCCCCGTCGCGCGCTTCGTGGCCCCGTAGGGAGCTCCGCCGAGGGCCCCAGCGGCGCAGCCCGCATGCGTCTCCCACGCCCAGAACAGCGCTTCGTGGCCCCGTAGGGAGCGCCGCCGAAGGCGCCAGCGGCGCAGCCCGCGCGCGCCCCCCCAGGTCCGCGGCCCAATAGGGAGCTCCGCCGAAGGTTCGAGCGGCGCAACCCGCATGCGCCCCCCCCACCCAGCGAGGTGTTTCTTGGCCCCACAGGGAGCTCCACCGACAGCCCCGGTGGCGAAGCCATTATGCGCCCCCGCGGCTAGTGCAACATTCCGTGGCCCCACCGCGACATCCACCTAATGTCCCAGCGGCGCCTCCCGCGCGCGCCCCCCCCGGCCCGGCGCAAGGCTGCGCGGCCCCGCGGGGAGCTCCGCCGAGGGCCCCAGCGGCGCCATCCGCATGTGCCCCCCCCCAACAGCGAGCGCGCTCAACAGATGGCCCCAGCGTCGCAATCCGCATGCGTCTCCCCCACGCAGCCAAGCGCTTCGTGCCCCCATAGGGGGCGCTACCGAAGGCCCCGCCTGCGCAGCCCGCATGCGTCTCCCCAACCCAGTGCGCGTCTCGTGCCCCCGCGGGGGGCTCCACCGAGGTCTCCGCGGCGCAGCCCGCATGCGTCTCCCCTATCCAGCACAACGCTTCGCGAGCCCATAGAGAGCTCCACCGATGGTTCAAATTGCGCAGCCCGCGTGCCTCCCCCGCCCAACGCGCCGTTCCGTTGCCCTATAGGGAGCTCCACCGAAGGTCCCAGCGTCGCAGTCCGCATGCGTCTCCCACACCCAGCACAGCGCCCCGCGGCCCCACGAGGAGCCCCACCGTAGCCCGCGTGCGTCTCCCACCCTTGACGGCACAGCGCCTCGTGGCCCCATAGGAACCGCCGCCTAGGGCCCCAATGGCGCAGCCCGCCTGCAATCCATGTTCGCGCGACGCTCAATGCGAAAACCCTTGCGACACCTAAATGCTTTGAGGAATTCTAGCACGCGCGCACGACGACTTGCGCGCGTGCACTTCGCCCCGTATGTTGCGACGAGGTGATTGGGAACTGCTGGTCTGCGATATAAACGAGCGCGCGCGAATTTCGCGCGTTTGCAGAGGGCGAAAGGGGGGCGCTGGTGTTTCGGATGGGCAATAGGGCAGAAACATGTGTAAACTGCACATCCCCAGCGGGGTCCGATCTGTCGGGGGGGGGGGGGGGGGGGGGGGGGGCAATACTTGTAGGGGGCGAATCCACGCGGTGCAATTGACCGCGCTGCACCGCGCGCGACGCCCCCCCCCCCCCCCCCCCACGCCCGTGTAAACACACCGCCCACCCACCCGCATCTTGGTCGGCAAAACTCACAGAGTCGCGACTGCGATTGCAGCGTTGAGCTCGTTTGCTGATTTCATCGAGCTCACCAGCGCGCGGAACCTCGCGTCGCGGCCAAAGTCCATCTCGCGGGAGACAGCGCGGACGACAGCGTCAACAAACGACGATGAGGTAGATGGCCGAATTCATAAGGTCGCAAGTGCAGTCACAGCGTGAAGCTCCACAGATCATTGCATTGCGTTATTTGGCGCGCGGACGCTCGTCGCGCGGGCAATGTCCATCTCGCGACAGCGCGCGGGCGCCGGCGTCGACAAACAATGATGATAATGATCGCGACGCTTCCGACGGCAGTGATGACGATGACGGTGCCTCGCATGGCATTATTAGACAGGTATCATGCCTCTGGCAAGCGCAAAAGGGCATCGAAACAAGTCCGACCCGCTCATGCGAAGGCCTCTTCGGACAGGAAAGATGAACAAAACAATCGTGCCCTTGAAATCCGCAAGAGCGCGAGGGATGAAATGTTGGACTTGTTGTTGAAACACAACATGGTTTGTAATGTTGATATATATCGGGCCCGCAACGATAACAAAAACGCTTTGGAATAATTTCGTCTTGCGCGCGCGCATGTGGCCCTCATGGTGTTATTTCATAAGGAGTCGTGCATTCAGCTCATGTGCGCCGCATGGTATCATTGACAGGGATTGGGAGGAACCCGATGGCGGGACGAACTGGGGCGGCATGCATTTAAATAGACAATGAACAAAGATGCAGAAACAAATGTAAATTGCAACACCCCACGGTGGAGTGGCAATCCCGGGGGGGGCGGAGGTAGAATCGATAATGTCTTTTAAGACAGGGGACACGTAGTGAATATTAGATGTAATCAATGCGGTGCCATCTACGCGATGTAATATGCGCGGTGCAATTGACTCGAACCCCCTCGCGAGCGACCGCCTCCAATGCTCGTGCATGCATCGCACCGCCCCACCCGCAATTAGATTTGCCAAACCCCTGCAATGGTGATTGCGATGACTGCTCGGCGCTGGCTGGCGCGTCGCTGCGGCCGCGCAAGCGCGGGCTCGCGCTCAGGACGGCCAGCAAGTCTGGCGAGACTGGCGCGGCCGCGGTGGTGAAGACCGCTAAAGATTCCCAGCGCGTCTCGCAGGCCGCGCTGACGCGCGGGCACTTCGTCGCGCGTCGGTGACACGGACGGGCGCGGTATCACGGCGACGTCGACAACGGCAGATATGACGATGATGGAGCGATGCTGGCGGCGACGGTGACGATGGCAACCGCAAGGCCAATGACGGCGCCGATGCTGATCACGCCAATGGCGATGATGGTGTCCTCGCGTCCGTGGTGAGGATTTTGGAAGGGTTTTGACATGCGCGCGCGGCCAGCACGCGCGAATGGCCCGCATGGTACTATCCGGCAAAGATCGTGCTGACCCAACACGCTGGGAACGGCGACCGAATGATTTCGACATGCGCGCGCCAAATGGCTTTTGGTCGCAGCTGATACACAAGTGGTTTATAAAGCCCTAAGTGTTCGCAGGAACGCGCGCGCATACATTGACAAACATTGTCTGTAGATGGTTATGGTACTTTCGTTATGGGAGCCTTTGCGAACTCATCGGCTGTTGGTCACTTGCGGCATGCGCATGCGACGGCAGGCGCGCGTTGAATACGATTGTAAAGATATTCTTGGTTATTGGTGATCTCGCATGAACGAGTGAACGTGCCTAATATTTTTTGACAAGGGTAGGGGGCGGATATCGGTCTGGTTGGGATCGTATGAGCTCATATGTACAATGGCTGGTGGGACAGCACATATCCGAAAATTGCATGACGCGAGACTGGACGGACAACCGGGGGGGGGTGTAGGTCACATTTTTTCCTATAAAGAAATCTATGCGAGGCGGCGACGGGGCGTCGACGGGGCGGCGACGAGGCGGCGACAGCGAGCACGACGCCGCCAGACAGACAACCAGGCCCAGACGACGGACGGCGACGAGGCGGCGACAGGGCGGCGACGGAGCGGCGACACAGAGCACGGAGCCGCCAGACCGACAACCAGGCCCAGACGATGGACGGCGACGAGGCGGTGACGGAGCGGCGACGGCGAGCACGGAGCCGCCAGGCCGACAGCACTTGCCGCCGTGCTTCTCACGACCGTAGCCCAGCTCCAGCAGGAGGCTTCGCATGAATACACTGCTGACGCATCGATCCTTCGCTCCCGAGATGGGGCAGAAGTAGAGAAGAGGTCGGAAGAGTAGATCCCCGCATATCCGAATAGATAGGGCTCGAATCTGAAGCATGTTAGACTGCAGGGGCTCGAATGAGAAAGAGTAGAATGGCTCGCGTAGCGTTGGAGGATCAATTCGAGTAGAATGGAATGAATAGGGTAAGGTAGGTAGGGCGAGATAACGTTGAACATAAGTATGTTGAATCTCTGGGCGAGCTTTTCTGCCCGCCCCCGCCCTCACTGGGTCATCCGCGCAGTATCGAGCGTGGGAGGGGGAAGGAGGGAGGAGGGAGAAGAGGCACGACATGATGTCGGGGGGAACAGGGAAGGGAAAGAGAAGCCAGAGATGGCAGTAAAGAAGGAGGTGGAGGATGATGGGGGGGCCTGCCTGAGAGGACCTCCTCGACCTGTCGTCCTTCCTGCTGCTTGCCTCTCCCTCGCTCAGCTTTGCTGCCGCTTACCTGCGAAGATATTTCACCTCTCCACACATCCACCCATGAGTTTCGGCCTGGGCGGAAGTGGCTCGCAAGGGCGCAGGGCTCGACCAAGAATCAATCGCAGCTCGAAGCTCGCGGGAAGGCGGACATGATTAGGAGGATGGGATCGTGATGGCGAGGAAGCTGACACGGAGGGGCGAGGAAGAGGATGAGGATGCTGATGATCCCAGCATGCGTGGTGCCTACAGCTCCACCAGACTCCGCAATGCCATCCGGATACATAGACATTTTTTTTGCTGGATGCGAATCGGAAGCGAAAGTCCGCGTCCGCATTCATGGCGACGGTTCCATCCGGATGCAAAGACATGCCCGAAGACGTATGAAACGGTGACGGGAACTGAATACATGCCCGAAGCACGTATGAAACGGTGACGGGAACTCTCGCGCTACCACAAGATAAACAGTTTTCAGAGAGAGCAGGGACCGCGGAGTTTCCGTGGTTCCAGCCAGCCTGCCACATGAAGACTAACGGAACTGCAGGAAAGCAAACTTGTTCGTGACACCGAACTCTTCCTCGGACACGCTCCAGGGGCCACTGGACTCCCTGAGCGTCTTCCTCAAGCTCTGGATACCCGCCGTGAAGGTGGACTGCCTGGACCCCCAGAAGGAGCGGGCGGCGGTGCAGATGATCATCTCCACCAGCCCCGAGAACTTCTCCTCCGGCGGCGCGTGCTTGCCGACTCTCGCGAGACGCAGGAGGACATGCAACTACTATGCGCCCTCCTCGGAGGCTCCCGTCCGAACCGAACATTTAGAACAAGCACTTGTAGCATATCGCTCGTGACCAGTATGGCCAGAATACGCCCGCCACCGAGCTTATAGGATAAGGTGGGCGTTTTCTGTTTCGGCCTTTCGACATTGGGCGGAAGGAGGGGGGGGAAGGGGGGATCTGGCTGCAGACATCTGCTTGATGCGACTGTTTGCAAGAGTGCTGCCTCTGGGGGAGACTCCACCCGCTCGAAACAGGCGCCCCAAAAACAACAAGATTTAGTCCATTGGGGGGGGAGGGGGGTTGGGGGTGCCGCGCCGATCGGCAAAACAGTTAATAAAAAACGATCACAAGAGTTCTCGGTGCGAGCGTCGCCCCGTTTGGGGCGACACACAGATACTTACAAGTACGTGAGGGTGACGCTGGTCTCGCTCTTCTCACGCGCACTGGATCTGATTAACTCGGCTTGCTCTCTCGCACGGCTGACCGAACTGAGGAAAACGACTCCTGCCTGCCCACATCCCTCGCGTCGTGAAAATTGTGACGGGAAACGTTTGACACTCTTGTGGCCCCAAGGCCCCTGACCAGGCCCCAGGGCTGTCAGTCACGCACCGGCACCAGAAGACTCCACACATGATAATGAAACGACAAGACCATGCCTCAGGATATTGGCTGCGCACACGGGGGACCATATGCAACACACCATGCGGGAAACCGTGCGGGAGACCGCGTGGGAGACCGCGTGGGACACCACACGGGAGACCATCCGAAAACCACCCAAGAGACCATCGGGGACGTCATCCGGGCAACCAAACGGGAGGCCGCATGGGAGACCTTACGCGCGACCACACGGGGAGGAGGGAGACGGGATACAGTCCGGGAGACCATCCAGGCGACCACACGGGAAACCACGAGCCACCCATTCTGGATCCGGACCCGCTCTCACTGGGCCTCAGAAGCTGTTATCGGCCCCTGCAGACAAGCTGTTTAGGACAATCGGTCCAGAGATCTGGGGCGTCACGTGGTGAACAAATCACGGCGTCGGATGTCTGGGGGTCAGGTTCAGCCAAAGTCTGGCCATGAGGATACTTCAGAGCAAGCCAGTGCATGCCGAAGAAGATTGGGTCGATGAATCCCGTCGTGACGTTTCACGACTTCGTGCCCTTCTCCTTGCGTCAGATCTCGAAGTCCCAACTCCGTTCCCCTCCCTTCCTCCCCCTCCCCCCACCCCTGCCAGGGGCGGCCTCCCCCGTCCTCGTGATCCTTCTCCGCCCCCTCTTTCTCATCATCTTCCTCCTCCTCTTCCTCCTCAACTTTGCTCTGCCTCAGGAGCCCCCCGAGGAAAATCCTCCTCCTCCTTCTCTTCGCGCCCTCCCACAAACATCCGACGATTCATGGCTCCCCAGAAGTCTGCGCATCTTCCATTCGACCTGCTTGTCGTCCCGATTTGTTTTTGACAGTCCCAGGGCCTGGCCCCGGACGACCAACATCAGCGAAAAATGACGACGACGATCACGACAACGACGAACGCCGCCGACGACGAAAACGATCACGACGAACGACGACGACGAAGAGACGCGTCGGGCCCTCCTTGAGCCCCCTGTCCAAAAGTTCGGGCTTGAAGTCGTCGAAGGTCATGAGCTCGTGGCCGCCCGCCTTCACCGCTGCCGCCGTCGCCAGGGCCGCCGACGCCATCGCCGTCTCCGTGCTGCGTCTGAGTATCGTTCCAGCGATCCCCATCCCCAGCGGCATGGCCTGGGCCCCACTGGCCGATGTACCCCCCTGGATGGGGATGTAGGTCGTTCCCCGGTTTCAAGGGGTGTATCCCCAACTGGAGCGGTAATTTGGTGGGGGTCTCGAGGAGGGTGGGGATGGGATGGGGATTGGTTAAACGTTACCGAGCGTCGTCGTCGAGACGCCGCCGCCAACGCCGTGGCCGGCGGCCTTCAGCGCGCTCCGCAGCTGGCTCCACCACTCCGGGTCCAGCTCGTCCGAAGCGACGTAAACGGTCTCCTCTGGGGAACCGCAAGGCAAGCCCACCGCGGTCGGGCGTGCAACGGTTCGAGCCCTCGCGCCCAAGGCGCAGGGGGCCGCAGAGCCTAGCCCGGGATGAAACGCCGGTCCACAAGGGAAGGTCGAGGTCTGAGGGGCTGGGAACGTGGTGAGCACAGAAAAAACACGCCGTCGGTTCCTAGGCCCATACCTCGGAGGCCGTGTTTGCTCGCAGCGCGGCTCCCCCGAGGTCAGGGCCCGTTCTCTGGGGACCAGGTCTCCATCCCGAGAGCCGCTCTTTGACGGCCAGGCGAAAGCCTGAAAACCCGAAAATTAACCAGCCTCGAACTTATCTCTATCCCTAAGATGGGCGAGCAAAGAGCGAGGACAATTCTAGACATGCGCCCTCAGAACCTGAGGGAACCCTCAAGATCGGCACCGAGGTGTGGTGATGCCAAACACAAGGATCGGGACAGGACATGCTTCAGACTGGTAAGAAAATGTAGAGGCCTCCTAGATGAGGTCCGAGTAGATGGGGTCGAAAGATCGCGCGGCATCGCCAATGCATTGGCGACGTCGGTGATGCATCGGCGACGCCGGCGTGGGGAAACACGGCCTCCACATCGAGCCGCATCGCCGATGCATCGGCGATGCAGCGCGATCCTCCGACCCCATCTACTCCGACCCCAACCTAGTTAGGAGGCCCTAGAGCATGTCAAACAAATTCCCGCCGTGCTTTGTGCCCACGGCACGAGAAAGCTGGGCTGTCGAGCCACACCTCGGGCATCTGGCGGCGGGGCGAGGCGCTCCGGGCGCCTCCGGAACGCCCTCGGCGAGGCGCCGCTGCAGGCGCACGCCCCGAGGCCAGAAAACGCCCAGGAGCAAACGCAGCACGGAGAGAAGAGGAGGGATCGGAGGGGGGAGGGGGAGGAGGAGCACCACAAAGCAGGGAGGAGCAGGGGGAGCGCGGAGGAGGGAGGGAGGCTGTGGTGGAGCGACCTAGAGTCAGGAAGACAACCAGAACACGTCGCCACCAGAATCAGAGGGCCTCTCATCCTCCCGATCCTTAGGGCCCTTCCTTGAGGCCTCGCCCACGGCTTTGACCATGTCAAGGTCGCCCTCCACAAGGCCGAACGCCAGCATAATTTGTCCCGCGGGAGGCAATGCCCGAAGCTGGGCACGTCCCTGTGAGCGCGGCGGGGGCAAGCTGAGCAAGGACCCGAACTGTCATCAGATCCCGCTCAGCCTGGCTCAGGTCACGGGGGCTACTCAAAGCCACGTGTTTGGTCGTGGCTCCGCCGTGAGGGCAATTGCCATCTCTGATACGCTTCAGCTGGCTCTTGACTTGACCTGAGGCGACCGGGTGTGCCCCTTGCATACAGACATCAGAAGCTGGCCTGGCCTAAAGTCCTGACAGTGGTCACCGCATCGAACTTAATACACTAGGGCCACGCCTGCACGCTGAGGGGATTCGAGCTCACAACGCATCACAGCGTGACCTTTCAAATGCAGGGCAGAGGTGGCAACATCGGCCGCAACCCAATCCTCCCCCAAACGACCCCCCACCCCATGACAAACCGCCACCCCCACCCACCTCGTCCTCACGGGACCCTTGCTCTGGGTTAGGCTCTGGCCGTGGCAAGTCAAAAGAATCGAGTGCTGGCTGGACTTCGCTGGCATCCTATCCTACCGTGTCGAGCCGAGTTTTGTTAACAGACTTCAAGTGCGCAGGTGCACTTCAAACTCGGCGGCCCCTCGTGCAGATTCCTTAGCAAGGCACTCGAAACCACTGTACAGGTTCACGTTTGCCTCACACACTGTGTGCTTGGCCGCACCCATTTGAGCATACATGTTAGCGGAATCAAATGCCGTATTTTCCCACATCGTGGTCTTCCCACTGTGGACGTCGGAATTCGAACAGTGCGCAGCCGTCTTGGCGGAGGAGGCAGGAGGAGGAGGAACGAAGGAGGGAGGAGGAGAAGCGGAGGAGGAGAGGAATGGAGGATGACGAGGACAGAAGGGGGCGGTGAGGCGAGTGAAGGTGGATGGGGGGTAGACGGAGGAGGGTGGGAAGAGGAGGCGTCGTCGTCGTCGTCCTCCTCCTCATCCTCCCCCTCCTCCTTGTCCTCCTCTTCCTCTGCCTCCTCTTCCTCTTCCCTCGTACTCGTCATCGTCCCTTTCTCGTCTTCGTCCTCGCCCTCCTCCTCGGGAGCGTCCCCCGGTCCTTGGGCTTGAGCGTCTCCGCGATCTTTTCCATGATCCTGCTCGGCGTGTCCGGAGCCTGTTGATAGGAAAACAGATTCTCGCTCTCCCCCTCCTGCAAGATTTCCCCCAAACAATGCTTGCACTTAAGGGTTCGTGCTTCTTCTCTAAGGATCTGAGCCTGTCTGGCGGTCTGGCGGCTGTGTTCTCGCCGTCGCCGCCGCGTCGTCGCCTCGGCGCCGCCCGTGAGGTCCCGTCTGGCGATCTGGCGGCTAGGTTGCCGCCGTCGCCGTCCCGTCGCCGCCCGTCGTCTGGGCCTGCTTGGCGGCTATGTTCGCCGTCGTTGCCTCGTCGCCGCCCCCCTGTTGGCTTGCCACAGGGTGCCTGGCGTGCTGAAGCATATACGGCCTGGTTTTGGTTCTTTTCCGCAAGAACTCCCACTCGGACGTCGGTCAATTGCGCCAGCCATCCGGAAAGCTCTGGACAAGGTGGTCGCAAAGGTTTGTCCTGCTCCAAATGGCTCCAAGATGGCCTCCAAGACGGCCAAGATGGCCTCCAAGTTTGCCCAAGATGGTCAAAGATGGCTTCCAAGACGACCCAAGAGAATCTAAGATGCCTCCAAGTTCGCCCAAAAAGCCTCCAAGACGGCCCAAGACGTTCCAAAAGGCCCACAAGTCAACAAGTCGGAAAAGGCGAATAATGGGAAACTGGGGGCAATTCAAAATTATGGGAAACCTGGAATCACTACAAAAAATAAAGGTTTCTGTAGTGATTCCAAGTTTCCCATATTTTCACTTCCAGGTTTCCCATCATGAAAATATGGGAAGCCTGGAATCACGACCAAAACAGTTGCTCGTAGTGATTCCAAGTTTCCCATAATTCGAAATCGTGGAAAACCTGGATCCACTACAAAACAGGAATGCTTTTCGTAATGATTCCATCTTTCCCAAAATTCAGAACTCTCATTTGGGGAACCGGGGGGCGGAAATTCCCTACGCGGAAATTCCCCACGGAGCTGAAGGTTCCCAGTAATTCGAATTCCGAATTTCCGGAAACCAGGGGGGAAAAGCAGCTGGGGGGTTCGAATTATGGGAAACCTGGAATCACTACAATTCAGGACGAGCTTTTGTAGTTATTCCAGCTTTTCCATAATTCCAATTCCAGGTTTCCCACAATCGAATTATGAGAAACCTGGAATCACTACAAACAAATGTTTTTCGTAGTGATTCCACGTTTTCCAGAAATCTGAATTATGGGAATATAGGATTCACTACAAAATAGGGAGGGGTCTTAGTGAATCCAGGCTTCCAATAATTCGAACTCTTGATTTTGGGAAGCGGGGAGCGGAAGTTTCCCACAATGCGGAAGGATCCCCGTAACTCGAACTCAGAACTTCGGGAAACCAGGGCGGAGAAACCGCTGGGGGGTTTCGAATGATGGTAAACCTGACATGAACTTCCGAAAAACAGGGGGTTGTAGTGATTCCAGGTTTCCCATAACTCGAATTCCGATCTTCCCCTAATCGAAATATTGGAAAACTTGGAATCACTTCACACATGCTTTCTTCGTAATGAGAAATGTCCCAAAATTTGGAATTACGGGAAACTTCGAATCACTACAAAAAACCAAAGAAAAATCCTAATCAGCGGATGGTTTGAAAACTTCGGCAAGTACTTGAATCGGCCCGGAACCAAGAACCAGGAACCCGGGAACCGGGCGGGAACCCGGGAACCCAGCTGGCTACCAAAATCGGCAAGAAACTTCCGCCAAACCTTTCAATATCCGCAAGAACCCCTTCAGTGCAAGCACTGATTGGGAGCGGCTCATTGAATGGCTCCAGGTTTTCTATAATTCGAGCCCCTCATTTGGGGAACTGGGGGGCAAAGTTCCCCACAAAGCGGCAGGTTCCCCGCACTTCGGGTGTAGAATGGAAGCAAGCCAGGGGAGAAGCCGCTGCAAGCCAGGGGAGAAGCCGCCGGGAGATTCGGATCACGAGAAACCCGGAAGCATTACAAAAAAAAAGGTCTCCCACAACTCGAGACCCTCCTTTGGGGAACGGGGAGCGGAAGTTTCCCACAATGCGGAAGGTTCCCCGTAGTTCGAATTCAGAATTTCGAGAAACCAGGGGGGAGAAGCCGCTGGGTGGTGCGAATGATGGGAAACCTGGAATCACTACGAAAGAACGGTTTTTATGGTGATTCCAGGTTTCCCATAATTCGACTTCCACGTTTCCCATAATCGAAGCATGGGGAAAGTGGAAACACAACTAAATCATAATGTTCGTAGTGATTCCAAGTTTCCTACACTTCGGAGTTATAGGAAACCTAGATCAACTACAAAAACGCGTTTTTCCTAATGGTTCCAAGTGTCCCATAATTTGAACCCCTTGTTTTCTTAATTGGGTGGGTGGAAGTTCCCTACAGTGCGGAAGGTTCCCCGTAGCTCGAATTCTGAATTTTCGGGAAAACGAAAAGCCCCTGGGGGCTCGAATTATGGAATTTCCCATCATCGAAGTTCAAGGTTTTCCACAATCGAAAGATGGAAGGCCTGGACTCACTAAAACAAAATCGTAAGGATTACATGTTTCCCGTCATCCGGTATTATGGGAAGCCTGGGCTCACTATAACACCATGTTGTGTTTATATTGGTCCCAGGTTTCCCAGACTTCGAACCCCTCATTTGGGGAACTGGGGGGCGGAAGGTCCCCACACTGCGGAAGGTCCCCCGTAACTCGAACTCAGAACTTCGGGAAACCAGGGCGGAGCAGCCGCTGGGGGGTTCGAATGATGGGAGACCTAGGATCACTACAAAAAAGGGGGGTCGTGATTCCAGGTATCTCATGATTCGAATTCCAGGTTTCCCATAATCGACTCATGGGAAACATGGAATCACTAATTACAGAAATTGTTCGTAGTGATTCCAGGTTTCCCAAAATTCGAATTCCAAGTTTCCCATAATCGAATTATGGCAAGCCTGGAATCACCACAAACAAGAATGTTTTTTCTTGGTGAATCCAGGTTCCTCATAATTCTGATGTATGGGAAGCTTGTGACCACAACAAGAAATTCTACCCTCCCAAGGGTTCCCCGCCCTAGCGGCAGTCCTCTGGCAATGGGAAACGCATAGCCGGACGGCTGCTCTAAGATCGCCCCAAGATCGCCCAAGAGGCCTCTCAGATGGCCCCAGAACGGCCCAAGGGGCCCCCAAGACGGCCCCCAGAGTTCCCCAAGACGGCCCAAGAGGCCTTCAAGACGCCCAAGATTGCCTCCAAGACGGCCCTGAAGCACCCCAAGAGGGTCCCAAATGACTTCCGAACGGCCCCCAAGACGACTTCCGACGGCGTCAGACGGGCCAGGGACGCCCTAAGACGACCAAAGAGGCCCCCAAGAAGCCCCCAAAGGCCCCCAAGATGTCCAAAGAGGCCTCCAAGATGCCTCCAACAGGCCTCCTGGAAGCTCCCAGCAGGCCCCAAGTTGCTCCCAGAGATTCCCAAGATGCCCCCTCCCCCTCCCCCTCCTCCTCCTCCTCCTCCTCCTCCTCCTCCTCCTCCTCCTCCTCCTCTTGATCTTCCCCGCCATCCTCCCCGAAGTGTTCCCCGGAAAGGTTTCTTAACGGCTGGGGGAACATATGGTCCGATAGCTTGGCAGAGCTCTGGCCACAACGTTCGGCCACATGGACGATTCTAGAAGGCAGGGGGCGGCGGCGATTCGCCGTAGGCGTCTTCGGCACGTAGCACCCCGCAGTTGCGGACAAGAGTGACGGGGCGGTGGGGACGTCCGCAGTCTGCGAGGCTCTCAAGGACGCCGAATGCTTTTATCTTTTGCCAATTATTCAACGACCCGCTGCAAGCGCCGATGTGTTTGCTAGATACAATGCAGGTGGGTCGCGGGTGGGTAACTGGTGGGTCGTGGATGGGTCGCGGGTAGGTCGCGAGTGAGTCTCGAGCGGGGTCGCGGGCGGGTCGCAGGGTGGGTCGCGGAGTGGATCGCGGGTGGGTCGCGGGTGTGTCGCGGGTGGGTCGCGAGCGGAGTCGCAGGTGGGAAAACGACAATAAATCAACAACAAACAAACAAACAACACACAACACACAACGCAGCAACAACAAAGACAACAACAACACCAACAACAACAACACCAACAACAAAAACAAAACCAAAGACAAACACAACAACAACAACAACAACAACAACAACAACAACAACAACACCAACAACAACAACAACAATCACTTTACCCGAACGCTCAGTGTTCTCACCAGTGCCAGGGTTTTCATGCGACGCCAGCCAATACCCCCACTTTGTGGGGGGGCAGTGCAAGCTCTACCAAATATCCACACGACTCTTCGCCACCACCCACACCCAGCTTCCCGCCCTATGACGTTCGGACACTTCACTTCGTGGCCTGCGGACGACCGTGGCTATTACACTGGCGTGGAGTACACACCCACAGAAGTTGTTAGGACAGCGCGCGCGGGTAGAAATTTTGAAAAGTCGTGCAGGTGTTTTTCGAGGACCTACGGTGCGATTCGTGTGATTTTATGATGCGCGGTGCTAAAATTCTTAAGAAGCCCAATGGTTTTTGGAGATTTCGGCGTGCGCGCGCGAAGAAAAAACGAATGTGTCCCGCATGGTATTATTTGACAGGGATGATGGCCCTGGCAGGTGCGCAACCGTTGTCGCAGAAGTTCGAAAAGTTGCTCGCAAAAGCCCGTTTGACAGAAATGTTTAAAAAGTGTTGGTTTTCCTACGAATCCGCAAGAGCGCGCGGGATGAGATTTTGACATTTTTTGTTGAAAAACCATTGGTTTTTTGATGTTTTTATGTTAAAATCGCTCCGAACACTAAGCTTTTGGAAGGATTTCGTCTTGCGCGCGCGAATGTCCACTTTACCTTATTTTTTGCAAGGGATTCTTGAAATTTGATTATATTAGAACAAGAAATGTCATTTTATAGTGTTTTTTGCAAGGGAAAGCGGGGGGGAACAAAACAACCGGATCTTGATCACATCGAATTACCTGAGGCTTCCTCACGAAAATGATGAAAATGTAGCTGCGGCCTAGGCGGCGCAGGGGGGCCGTGCACCAGGGGTCCCAACAATAATTATTCTTTAGAATTAATAATGTTCAACAACAATCATGTTAATACGATTTCCTTACTGGCACGCGTGTCTTGCATTCCGTATACCCCAACCCTCGATGCCCGCCGACTTCGTCTTCGATTGTACCACCTTTCGGGGGGAATCTCTTCTTTGTCGGCCACTGACTGAAGTGCGAAAAGGTCTCGAGCGAGAGCGTCGTTCCTGAGTTCGGGTGCCTTCTCGGCCAGGGCTCTAGAAATACCGATGGATAAATATCGAACGGGAACCCTTGCCGCTGTGTCTGGGCCTCCACCAACTTGCTTGAATTACGAAAAAGGTCTCGAGCGAGAGCGCCGTTCCTGAGTTCGGGGGCCTTCTTGGCCAGGGGCTCTCGGAGTAAATCGTGAAGAAATATCGAGCAGGAGCCCTTGTCGTCGTGGCTGGGCCTCCGCCAACTTGATTGAATTGCGAGGAAGTCCTGAGCGAGAGGGCCGTTCCTGAGTTCGGGGGCATCTCTGGCCAGGGTGTCTCGGGGTAGAACGTGGGGAAGTATCGAGCGGGAGCCGTTGTTGTCGCAGCTGGGCCTCCAAGGGCCAATATTTAGGCTCAAGCCAACGCTCGAACGGGAGCCTCGTTTTCAGAGAAAATGTAGCCGGCGTCGAGGCGAGAGCGCGCGGAACCGTTTCCGGAGATCAGCAATGACTATTTTTAGGAATGAGTAGTCAACAACAACAGCACACCACGCAACGCACAACGCAACACGCGGAGTGAGGGGGCCGAACGGTCACTGTCTCTGGACGTGCGGCTGAACCGAAGTTCCGAGATGCGGACCCTTGTCGTTGTTGCTGTTGTTGTCTTGGGTGTTGTTGACCCGGCCCGCGACTCGCCCTCCTCCTGCTCCTCCTCCTCCTCCTCCTCCGCTTCCTCCTCCTCCTCCTCCTCCTCCGCCTCCTCCTCCTTCCCCCACGCATCATCGTCCTCCTCCTCCGTTTCCTCCTCATCATCATTCTCCTCCTCATCCTCCTCCTCCTCCTCCAACTCCTCCTCCTCCATCTTACTCCTCCGCCTCCTCCTCCCTTACCCTTCCTCCCCCCCTGGCGGACACCCTCTCCTCTCGCCCCCTGCACTGCCCTCTCTTCCCCCAGCCTTTCCCTCCTCCTCCTCCTCCTCCTCCTCCTCCTCCTCCTCTCCTCTCCCATCCTCCACCTCCCTCCCCCATGCCCCTCCCCCCTCATCCCCCTGCCTTTTCTCCATGCGCACCTCCCCTTCCCCCTCGTCGGGGCAAGCAAATCCATTTTCCTCAGCGCCGTCGCCGCCTCGGCCAGCGCGCGCGCGTCTGCCGACGGCTAGATCGCGAAGCCGTCGGGACAAACCTTCGGGCTGGGCCGTTGAGACAACCTCGCAGGCCGCTGGGGCGTGGGAGCTAGCCGTTGGGACAACCCCGCGGGCCTCCAGGCGCGCGCCGCGGCGCTCAGGCGGGGGGCAGCATGAAGCCCAGCTCTGCCGCGAGCTGCTCCGCCTCAGCCCTGGAGTCCACCGCTCTCTTGTCGAACTCCTCGAGCGCCTTCCGCAGGGACGCCGGCGGCCCGCGCCCCAGGAACTCTCGCGCGAGCGGCCGCAGGATCAGCATGTTCCGCATGCACGTGGCGCGGGAGAACATGACGTAGAGGTGCAGCCACCACATATCGTCCGACATGCCCGTGCGGCCAGCGTCCTCATCCCTGGCGCAGTCGATGGTGACGCCCTTGCGCAGCGTCTGGCCCTGCGACAGCGTGGAAGTCAGGTAGGACGCGTGCGTCAGTGTGAATCCCGAGCGGCGCACAGTGTGCGCCCCCGAGCTTTGCCACGTGAACTCCTGCTCGCTGGGCCTGAACATGAGCAAGCCCCATAGGGAGGGGGCTCCCGCCTGAGACTTCCTCGCCATTCACTCACAAACGAAGCTCCCGCCTGATACTTCCCCATATTCAGGCCTCAGGAGCCCAAAAGTGACGACAGTTACACGTTGCGGATGACCCGCTCGGATTCGAACATGAAGTGCGGGCCCATAGGGAGGGGGCTCCCGCCTGAGACTTCCTCGCAATTCCCTCACAGACGAGGCTCCCGCCTGATACTTCCTCCATATTCAAGTCTCAAGAGCCCAAAAGTGACGACAGTTGCACGCTGCGGATGACCCGCTCGGATTCGAACATGAAGCGCGGGCCCCATAGGGAGGGGGCTCCCGCCTGAGACTTCCTCACAATTCACTCACAGACGAGGTTCCCGCCTGATACTTCCTCCATATTCAGGCCTCAAGAGCCCAAAAGTGACGACAGTTACACGTTGCGGATCAACCCGCTCGGATTCGAACATGAAGTGCGGGCCCCATAGGAGGGGGCTCCCGCCTGAGACTTCCTCGCAATCACTCACAGACGAGGCTCCCGCTCGAGACTTCCTCCATATTCAGTCTCAAGAGCCCAAAAGTGACGACAGTTGCACGTTGCGGATGACCCGCTCGGATTCGAAACATGAAGTGCGGGCCCCATAGGGAGGGGGCTCCCGCCTGAGACTTCCTCGCAATTCACTCACAGACGAGGCTCCCGCTCGAGACTTCCTCCATATTCAGGTCTCAAGAGCCCAAAAGTGACGACAGTTGCACGTTGCGGATGACCCGCTCGGATTCGAACATGAAGTGCGGGCCCCATAGGGAGGGGGCTCCCGCCTGAGACTTCCTCACAATTCACTCACAGACGAGGCTCCCGCTGATACTTCCTCCATATTCAAGGTCTCAAGAGCCCAAAAGTGACGACAGTTGCACGTTGCGGATGACCCGCTCGGATTCGAACATGAAGTGCGGGCCCCATAGGGAGGGGGCTCCCGCCTGAGACTTCCTCGCAATTCACTCACAGACGAGGCTCCCGCTCGAGACTTCCTCCATATTCAGGTCTCAAGAGCCCAAAAGTGACGACAGTTGCACGTTGCGGATGACCCGCTCGGATTCGAACGTGAAGTGCG